GTTTCAGTCCAAAGAAAGCAACTCAAAGCCACTTGGACTTTGTAGTGGGGTGAATGGCCTTTAAAAAAATACCTAAAATGGGTGAGAATAAAATCCAAAAGAATTAAAAAAAAAATAAAACAGTCAAGTCACATTTTAATTCTACTTACCAGAAGACTGACAGAATAGGATACTCCCCACCTCCTACCCCCCACAATTTGGTGTATATTAGAGCATGCGTGCAGGGGCATGCCCTGGGGCACAAAGCAGTGGTACAAATATGTGCCGCTGCTATTTGTGCCACAGCAAACACATGCCCTTGTACGTGCATGCTCATCTGGACATGCCCATAGTCTTTCTTTAGCAAGCCTGACTTAATTCCCTCTCAGTCAGATGCCGCCAGAGTACTACATGGTGGGAGCAAGGGAAGAAGCCAGTGGCTTTGTGGGTCTTTTCCATGAAGGGTGTGTCTATACAGCTTGCTTGAATAGCTGGGCTCTGTCACTTTTAGCAGTGAGAGGTTGGAGTCTGCTATAGCCTTTGAGTAAACATACCTGATCCTTAAACCCAGGTTAAAAAGTCCTGGGTTTGGATCCCAACCCAGGGCACTGTTAGGCCAACAGTGGGGTAGCTGCAGCAGTAGAGATTACCAGTGTAGACATGTTACAGTAGTGGGAAAATGCAACGCTTCCTGGTGTGAGGTGCTCTTTCCTCCAGTGGCGACGCGTAGGGGCTGCACAGGGGTGCACACACATCCCCTGAGAGCACCAGTGCACCCCCTGACCAGCTGTGCTCGCCACTTAGGTAATGGGAAGGGGGGGCAGGCGGGAGCATCAGTGCCCCCCCTGCAAATGCTGGCCGAGCGCTGCAGCCAAGCGCTTCCAGGAGCAGCTGCAGCGATCGGCTGGCACTTGCTCCCAGAAGCGGCTGCAGCCACTCCTGGAAGTGGCTACAGTGACCACAGCAATTGGCCACAGCAATCAGCCATTGCGGGATCACTCAAGTGGGACTTCCCCCTAGTCGGCAGGGTCAGCCGCAGGGGGAACCCCTCCACCCCCGGTTGGGGGAACTGTTGCAGGAGGGGCATGTGCCCCCCCGCCCCCCGACTAAGGTGGCACCAGTTACCCAAGCTTTCCTCACTGCAGCTGTCAGTGTTACCTCCAAGTTAGAGGAGCCCCCAGTAAACTCTGCTGCCAGCACCTCCAGTGTGAGGATGAGCATAGAAAAAAGTCAGCAGTCAAAGCTCCTTAATGCAAGGTAGTTATTAAATACTTAAACCAGGGAAAAGCTGGCCCTTGGTCCTCAGCACAGAACCTTTGGCTCATTAGGCCATCAGTGAGGTTGCCCTCCCTACCTAGTGAAGCCAGCATGTCATGCAGATCCTCCTTGTCAATGAAGCCATCACGGTTCTGGTCAATCATGTTGAAAGCCTCCTTGAACTCCTGGATTTGTGACTGGTCAAACATAGCAAAGACATTGGAGGTGGCACGCTGGGGGCGCTTCTTGGTGGTCTTGGCCTTGGCTCGTTTGCTGGACATCTTGGCAGGTGGTGTCCTCTCTGTGAGCAGCACAGGGAAAGTATGAAGGAGATTTATTAAACATAACAGCAAAGACAAGAGTAAGGGGTGGGGGTGGGAGTCAGGACTCCTGGGGTCTAGTCCTGACTCTTATGCTGGCTGGCTGTGGAAGCAGACACTACTTTGTGCCTCAGTTTTCCCATCTATAAAATGGGGGTATTTACCTAATTTTGTTCATTGGGTGGGAGGAGCATTTGGTTTGGATGCACAGTGCTAATGAGGGCCAGGAAGTATGGGTAACACAACTGCATGGCTTCCTCTTTGCTCTCATTGGTTTACAGAAGAAGGAAACAGCAAATCCTGATATTTCCTTTTTTTAAATGTGGCTCTGGATTCCACTACTAAATCCCTGGGAGTAAAAACAAATGAATTCTGATGGATCATGCCCTTGTTTGGTCTGATATGTAGCTCTTTCCCCAACTGCCCTCCACTTCCTTGTAGCATGTTGGGAAGGGGCCAAGTATGCTTTGCATCGTGACAGTCTGGTAGAAAAAATGGGGAACTACTATCCTTGTGCATGGCAGGCGGGCAGTGGGGAAGGTTAGATACAGCCAGGGGGAGCCTCTAACAGTGTGGCTAGTCAGCCTTAGCAACATTACCTGTCCCCACAACAGAGCTAGCACCAGTGCTAGTAAGGAGGTGCAGACACCAGTGTAGACAGGGTTCAGGGACTGACTAAGCTTGCTGGAGTGTAGCTAGTGGCTTAAGTGCGAGTGGCAGGCTGTGCTAGGGTTTTTGCCATTAGTGGCTTGCAGCTGCTTAGCGGATTAAATCTTTCTGTCTGCCTACAGTCAACCTGGCAGTTTTCTTGCCCTTTCCCTGAGCCAGCTTTTACCCTGGCACCCCACAGGCACACCCTGGCTCTGCAGCTGCATGGCATTAAGGGTACAAGAGGAGAATACTCCCAGAAACTAGCAAACAGCCAATGAGTCTGAAGTTGCCTGGGCCACTGCTTCCTATGTGTTGTCCCCAGGTTACTGACTGCATTGTCTGGTCTCAGGCTGTCCTTTGTGGCCTACCTCAAATAGGCCTGGCACCCCAGAGTGCACATCTCTGCCAGGGAGGTGAAACTGGCAGTACGGCCTTCAAGGAAAGGGTTGAAAGTCCACTGAGATCTTCGGGGGGGGGGACAGAGCACTCAGCCCCCTGAGAATAGAGTGGTCATTCATCCAGTTTTATAGAGGACAGCCCGGTTTTTGGATGCCTTTATGTCCTCTGTTTTTCAGTGCCTGGCACCCCACCCCCACTGACACGGCTGTGGCCACCTGCAGGAGCTGCCTGCTTGCTGCTGCCATGCCCCTGCTGCTGACACTGCTGCCTATGGGAGCTTGCTGTGCCCCTCCAGCCTCAGTAGGCATGCAACATTCATGGTGATGGGGACAGTCCTCTATTCTTGAGGTACCTTGATGGCCACCCTACCTGGGAACCACAAACAGGGGCCACATAGCCCCTCAGCACCGGGCAACCCCGCCACTCCTTTCTGGCAGGCGTGATGGTCTGGGAGCTTTACCTCCCTCCGCAGCAGTGCACCCGTCAAGGGGAGGGTTCTCTCAGGTGTGGCCACTTCTTTCCAAGGACAGTTGTGAGCTGGCCCCCAACCAGTGACATTCCTGGAACGGTTCAGGTGTTACATCTATCTGTTGACACCCCCTGGGTCCTCATGGGATGGGCTGAGAGCTCAGCAGGTGGGCTCTAGCACAGCTGGCCTCTTCCTGACCCCAGGTGGAAGCACTAGAACCTGAACTCGGGGCCCGGGGCCGGAGAGGACGCCCCCTCCTTTGTGGTCCTGGTGTGACAGGTACTTCGAAGTACAAAGAGTTACTGTGCTAATGGAGAACAGCTCAGGCCTCTTCCTCTCCTCCCCCTCTGCCCAGCACCCCATGGCAAAGCCCTGCAGTTTTAAGTTATCGGGTTTCTTTGTACACTTTCACATACACAAAGGCAGGCTCACAAACAAGGCACAGGCTCTGGGCCCTCTTCCCAGCGCCGGCCCTGTTAGGAGCAACCAGGAAGCTGGTTATCTGTTCCTTGCAAATTCCTGGCATTCCTTTCCCCTCCCCCTGCCCTCTTTGTTTAGCCTGAGAGCGGCTTGCAGAGCTGGGCTCATCCCTGCAGCAGAAGCAGCACTAGGTAGGGGTTAGGAGTCCCGAGCTCAGCACAGTGCTCTAAGCCTTACAGAGGCGTTTAAACTGCAATTCAAGCTTAACTAGTTTAAATCCCTACTAGGGAGAGGAGGGGGGAATCTTTTGATTTACACCCTGGAAGGATATGGCTCCCTGAGGTCCTATTTAGCATTTCAAGTACCCTATAAGGCTCCTCCATATTACAGACACCCTGGAGAACACTGGACCTGCCCCTGGCAGACCCTCAAGGGGACATGGGGCTTGGAAGACTCCCATGTCACCCACAGAATATTTCACCTGGGGTAGTAGTTGCAATGGTGATCAGCACTAGCAACTCTGCCAGTGTTACAGCAACCCTCACCCTGCTTGTCATTTCTTTTAGCGCCCCAGCACCTGGAGTCACGTGATTGCTAGAGACTCTCCACTTCCATTGCAAAGTCAGTTTCCAAGCCTTGTAGTTGAGGAGAAGAGCTTGAGAGAGAGGACATGGAGGAAGCAGGAGGCAAAGTCCTGAGGTTTGTTGGTTTTATATTTTTGTAAAAGAAACGTGATTTTTGAACATTTGGGAGGGTTAACAGTCACAGAGCAGTTTCCCAGAGTCTTGGGGCACTTCGCAAACAGCTCCCACTCCATGCCCAGGCTCCTATTGCTCCCTGCCCCCAGGTGTGACACAACGTTGCAGCCACCAAGGAGGACAGCTACTGGGGTGACATTAGCTGCCCTCTGCCATCAACTCTTCAGCCTTTACTAGCTGCTGTGATGCTGTTCCTGTGTTTTTCAGGAACACCAGATTTCTTAGCATCTGTTCTGGTTCACCATTAGCTGGCTCTTGCACCTGCTAGGTAGCTGCTGTTCCTATCTACCCTGTTGATATATCATCTTAGGGCATCCATGTTCCATGCACTGTTCAGTTCCTTTAACCATTCTCAGTGATGCTCCTCATGTGATCTTCTGCGTAAGAATTTAGCTGTTCTGGTCACTTCTAAACCCACCACCTCTTCCACATCCTCCTCTCCTAGAGCACATCTAACTGCTGGATGGATTGCATCTGCCTGGTCCCAGGGCCAGCCTGTCCTATCCTGCAGAAGCTGCAGGTGCCCCACTGCGTGCCCACTCGTCCCCCACCACCTGTACCATGTTTAAAGGGCTCAATGCAGGCAGGGAGCCCCTTCCCAGCGGAGCTGGGGAGGAGTTCTTGGCTCGGCTCCTGTTCTGGGCCCCAGCCCCAGGAGGGAACCCAGGCATCCCCAGCACATGCTGCCCACACTCCCCCCCCCCCAGCAGCACAGCCCATGTGCGCGCAGTCCACCCCCGACTATTTTATTTCAGTGAGTTTATACCGCAATTTTGATTTTTCAATGCATCAGGGAGCCCCAAAACTATATCTTGCAGGGGGCCACAAAAAATTGTGGGCTGGCCTTGCCTGGTCTATTTTATCTAGATCAATTGCTGCTTGAGAATTTAGCAAAATAGCCTGGGATTAATTAATCAGTTCTCATTATTTGATTTCCTTTGTGGCTTTACATTTGGCCTCCAGGTGGGGGATTCACTTCATCATGCTTTGTTGACCCTTCCCAGCAGGTAGGCTGGTGGAAAGAGGAGATGGATATGTCCCATGCATGGGGCTTCTACACTCTCTCTTCCTATGAGCTGTAGGTACAAGCATTGTGGCCTGTGCAAACCCTGCAGAGGCCCGTGACAGGGATGCAAGTGAGCTGAGCAGGTGGGAACTGGTCGTCTCTCCTCCAGACTTGCATCTGCCCTGGGGTGAACGTAACCCCTTTCTACCCACTTCTGCACTTTCCCCATCTAGACTCTTCCTCTTCCCCCTTCCCTGTTCTTTCTCTAGTACATGCTTCACCCCCGAAAATGCCTGTCTGGCACAGACACCCTCTCCCTGCTTCTTCACCCATCCCTCCAAGTCCTCCACACAGGAACACAGTAGGGGTGCTACCCTAGATTTCTAAGGAAGAGGCTATAATAACCTCTGCCAGAACTGCACAGAGTGCAACAAGGCTCTGGTTCTCAATGCATCTCTAAGTGTTACCATAACAGCTCTGCCTCCAGAGGCACCTATATAGACTCAGTCAGTCAGTGGTCAGGTCCCACAGCCCCGTACCAGCAGCAATCTTCTCTCAGCTGGTTTCACTGGTGTAGCTCATTTGGTTTTAGTGGCTCTAGGTACTTATACCAGCTCACTGTTTGACCCACAGTCTCTTGCTTGCATGTACATCCCTCAGAGAGATTAGTGGGAAGCTGGTAAGACTGGTGTGCAATGAACTCTGAGGTCAGATAATGAGTCACCAACCAGGGAAAGGTAAATTCAACAGCTGGGGGTCACTGACAATCAAGTGGGGAGTGCTTATGGGCACAGCATAAATCCAGTACAAAACCTAGCAGCCAACGTATCTCTTGAGTGACATCTTCCTGGGGACTGCTGGTGTGGAGAACCAAGGAGCTTCTCAACATCTTGTCTACATGCGACCAAATTGTTTTTTAAGCTAATTTCCCTTTAACTAGGAGCAACTCTCCGGCTCAGCCAAGCCCTGTACACAATTTATAGGAGTCTGTACTGCAGCTGCAGGGCAATGAAATGAGCCCCTTAGCCCACAACGATTGCAGAGTTCAAAGCCTGGCTTGTCGGCACAGTGACATTCCAACTGGGGGGGCTGCTGGAGGGGCCCTGCTTAGCCAATCCTGACAGCCGGAGAGGGGAGGGTTAGTTCAAGGCTGTGACACCCTCCCACCCTGTGCAGGTAGCAGCCCTCTGCTCAGGAGGAATCCAGTGTTCTTTGTCACAAACTGCTAGTGATGCATCACACCTGCCTCCTACCCATCAACCCCAAGGCAGGAGAGAA